TCATTTGAGCCAAAACCCCCTTACAACGGTTCCCAAGCAATCTTGCAATGTTCGATTCTCTCACTCCATTCTCCAGCAGCAATCTGATGTTGTGTGCTAGTAGATCGCCCCGACAGAAAAATGAATTACCAAGCATACAACCAATAGTCTTCACATCAGATTGCAAGAACTTATATATCAATTCATAGGTTGGAACTATTCTGGATTCGTAGGCTTGAACCCAGTACTGCAGGTACTTATTCACTAGGTCACAATTTCATAGCTAGAAAACACCCTTTGAGAGAAAAAATTCAAGCTTTGGCATTACCCTTTTGCATGGGTCACAGGAAAGCAACCATGGTAACCTTCTAACCATATAGTTTATTTGGATATTAGAGAAACCGTTATTTCTGAAGAACCTGATCACCGTCTCGGGCTTTTCTGAGGTCTGGAAACAAATATTGTAGGACTTAGATGTTTTGGAAGCAGATTCAGGAGAGAATCCAAAGTTGTCAATGAGGTAGGATACCGCAAATGATGGTGATTTGAAGTGCCTGTGCAGAACAGAGAGAAAGGGAGGAATGGTAGTGGGGATAAAAGGGTAAGGTGATGTTGCTTTGAAGTGACACATTTCAATACAGAAGTTTTATTCAACATGGTGATGGGTGAAAAACACACTTTCGAATTGAAGAAAATTCCTGAAAATTGAAAAGGCAAAGGATTGAAAGACAATGATGTTACCTGAGCTTGGTACTGAGTAACTCAGATTTTGAGATAGATACAAGCTCCTGCTTCAAACCTGGCTCCTATTTTTCTGCTAGGGTTCCATTCGATATAGAAACAAATTATCAAAATTTAAAAAATATATAATAATAATAATCTCACAAATCAATTAGAATAATTTTTTTTCTGTAATATAACTAAGTAATATATTATGATCAACTCAATTTTAAACAAAAATAACTATAAATAAATTTACACGGATTAGAAGGGTTAACTGCATTTTCTTTTATTTGTAAATAATCAGAATAACACAAAAAAAAAGTCAATTTTTTTATTTTGTTTCAATATATGTACGGTGAGATAATGTGCAGATAAATATGAGATAAATGTATCAATATATTTGGATATTTTTTCTCTTTCTTTTAGGTACATAAATAATTATAATATACAATATAAATAATAAAAAAAAATCTTTAGTATTTTTATCCTAATTTGTTTTATTACAAAGGTTATGTTTAATTTTTTACAAATCATCCAAGTTTCATTAAGAAGGCTAATTACAATAAAATATTATTTAAACAATGTTTAATTTAATTATTTCAATAAGTTATTGTGACTTTAACGAAATATTATTTTAACCCGTCTTTTTAGCTTAATTTGAGAATTCTTCTAGCTCTATGTTATTTCTAACTAACTCAATTTAAGTATTTTTTTACAAGTAATTTTTAACTTAAATAGATATTTTTTTTAGTAAATCATTTATGACTCAAAACAAATACAATATCTAGTGATAAAAAGATAATAACTTTTTTTTATTTCTAGAAATGATGATATCTTGTACAACGGTTGAAATCTCCTTACTAATTTATTGGTATGAAGACAAGTAATATAATTTTATGTTCAATTAGTTTGAACTCACTTGGATGTTTTCTTATTCCTCTTGTTTGTGAAGCTTTGAAGTAAAAAAACATTGAATGTGTTGTTAATTTTTTCCTTACACAACCTTTTTGATAGTTAACAATATTTTTAAAAGAAGCTTTGAATTTTTTTTTTACTTATAATAATGAACACCATATTAGATAAAGTTAGCAGACATTTCAATTTTAACTTGAATCCTAAGAAATATTTAAATGAAGCTTAAGTTTTGTACGGATTTATTAAAGACATTCTCTACATGACTGAAAATATTTTGAGTTCATGATAATTTAAAATCTTAGATTATTTTCATAATCTAATTGATAAACATCTATTATAAAATATAGTAAATATAGTAAAACTTGGCATGTTATTGTTTGTAAGATTAATCACATGCACTCAGTTAAAACAATAAAAATATCAGATTTTTATTGATGATAATAAGAGTAAAAGAGTTTAGTTTGTCTTCGTGTTTAGAATTATTATGTGTGATAAATTAATGTTCTAAATTTTAAAACACCCAAATTGTGACTAAACTCTCATTGTTCCTAATGTAGAAGCATGATAGAAAACATTTTGATTAAACTTCTCATAAATAGTTTTAGAGAAAAAAAAATTCACAATAAATTAAATTAAGACATCTATATATTAACTTAACATTTTTCATATATATAATTTCTCTCAAACGTGAATTAACTATGCACATCCAAACTAAACAAATTTGAATACTTTTCTTTTTCATATCCAATATATAATCTAAAACTTCATCAACCAAAATTTCTCTTGAATCAAAATCGTTTTATTCAATTAGTCACAATTGGTTACGTTAAAAGTATTTATATAACAACCTAGTAATATCTTCTTTTAATAGTGGAATTGATGCAAGTACATAATAATTAGTAGTGCCATAAAAAAAATATTCTGATGGAAGTTCTGTCTAATTTCCCTCATGGTATTGCAAGCATTCAGATTCTCCAACTTGGTAATGATCTTACTAAATGTCATTTTCTCTAAACTTGTTTAAGCATCAATTGATTATAGAGATTTTACATCCAAGTTGCAACCTTATGCGATCTTCCATGATATTTGAAGATGTTTAGGAACAACACAATTAAGAACCCAAATGTGATTTGTAAAAGTAGTTCCAAACCAGAGGGAGCAATAATAACTAAATATTACCGATGTATGTACTATTAAAAGCATGGTTATGATAATATACACACTAAATTTTCAATAAAAACTGTAATCAATTGAAATTGGTCTCTAATGATAATTGTTTCTACATTATTGATTAGACATTTTTGCTACCTCAACTTTCTATATCCTTCAACCTTTGAGTAGTTTTTAACTTTTCATGTGTTCAAGATAGTTAATAGTCTAAATCACTTGTAGAAGGTAGTTTAATGTTTAAGTTAACATTTGTATGAATAAAAGTTATATTGAATGAAACAATTCCTAATGTCAATTACCTTACCTAGTCACTTACTTATACTACTCATAATGAACTTTTATTTATCACTAACCTAATTACAGGTCAAACATGTCTTAATTGTATTATTTAGTTGACTCAGGTTTATCTTTGTTATGTTGTCTTTATGCTGGCTAATCATATAAAACACCATAGTCTAGTCTCACCAACCGGATCTCCTGAGCACATAATAATCAACTCATTTAACTGATCTAGGAAGGTCAAACTAGTTGACTTCATTAATCGAAAGTTCTATATTATACAAGAACTAAACCAAGTCATTCACCTTTTCTTAATGCAGATGGTTTCTTCTTTTTGTGTGAACCTATAAATATAAATATGAATGCTTAAAATCCAAAAATAACTTAACAAATTTGACTTACCATTTTAAATGAGCTCAAATTATGCTCTTACCTAAAAGAACTACAAGTTAAGTTCAAAACTCAAATACAAGAATTTCATCTCCAAACATCTTCCATCATTCTCCAAGAAGCATAACTTTCCTACAATCTTTTACATTTTCCATTGAAAAAAGTCATTTTGCATAATGAAACTCTAAGTTGCAAACTAAATTGTTTCCTTTTGCACAACATCATTGACCAATCTTTTCATGAATTCACACAATCCTTCTTTTACCTCAGCATCATCATTTCTAAAATTAGGTTCATAGTGCATGGAAGGGTTAAGTTAATANCAATAATAACTAAATATTACCGATGTATGTACTATTAAAAGCATGGTTATGATAATATACACACTAAATTTTCAATAAAAACTGTAATCAATTGAAATTGGTCTCTAATGATAATTGTTTCTACATTATTGATTAGACATTTTTGCTACCTCAACTTTCTATATCCTTCAACCTTTGAGTAGTTTTTAACTTTTCATGTGTTCAAGATAGTTAATAGTCTAAATCACTTGTAGAAGGTAGTTTAATGTTTAAGTTAACATTTGTATGAATAAAAGTTATATTGAATGAAACAATTCCTAATGTCAATTACCTTACCTAGTCACTTACTTATACTACTCATAATGAACTTTTATTTATCACTAACCTAATTACAGGTCAAACATGTCTTAATTGTATTATTTAGTTGACTCAGGTTTATCTTTGTTATGTTGTCTTTATGCTGGCTAATCATATAAAACACCATAGTCTAGTCTCACCAACCGGATCTCCTGAGCACATAATAATCAACTCATTTAACTGATCTAGGAAGGTCAAACTAGTTGACTTCATTAATCGAAAGTTCTATATTATACAAGAACTAAACCAAGTCATTCACCTTTTCTTAATGCAGATGGTTTCTTCTTTTTGTGTGAACCTATAAATATAAATATGAATGCTTAAAATCCAAAAATAACTTAACAAATTTGACTTACCATTTTAAATGAGCTCAAATTATGCTCTTACCTAAAAGAACTACAAGTTAAGTTCAAAACTCAAATACAAGAATTTCATCTCCAAACATCTTCCATCATTCTCCAAGAAGCATAACTTTCCTACAATCTTTTACATTTTCCATTGAAAAAAGTCATTTTGCATAATGAAACTCTAAGTTGCAAACTAAATTGTTTCCTTTTGCACAACATCATTGACCAATCTTTTCATGAATTCACACAATCCTTCTTTTACCTCAGCATCATCATTTCTAAAATTAGGTTCATAGTGCATGGAAGGGTTAAGTTAATATGCAACGGCATGCAAAGGTCTATGAAGCTAATTATTTCACCTCATCAATCAATCATGTTCCAAACAAGTTCATAACTACAAGTGTGATGTTAGAAATAATTACACAAAATAAAGAATGAAAATTTAAAAGAAAAGGTTTATAAATTTTACCTTTTCTTAATATTATTAAAGTTAAATTTGATCTCCTCTTTAGCATAATCTATTTCTTCATAAATGAAACTCATTGTGAGTTTTACATTGTGGGTTTTACGTCTGAATCCACTTGTTGATGGATCACCATCAAAAGGAGGTAACAACTTTGAGATAAGTGATTACATTCTTTCATAACCAACTATTTAATACCACATGCTCAATTTTTCTGAAGTTCCAAATTTGCTTTATTTTCACTCATCAAAGTTGAAGCTTCCACTCCTCCTTGTATCTTACAAGGATTACAGCAATTTTTTTGCACTATTTGTTTCTAAAGTTTTTATCTAATATCAATGTATTATGGATGTTTGTAGCCAACTCCATATCTTCCAATCATCTCACATTTTTGCAAGTGAAAGATATCTAATAACATTGAATGGAATGGCACTCATGTAAAAAAATTCTGCCATTTTAGCATCAACTTTTTATTTATCCCCTTTCTTATACACTTGATGTAAAGTAGATTGAACACCTTGACCAAATTTGCCCTTTCCTTTATTTTTGAAGATCATACTTTGGTATCCACCTCTTCAAATGCTTATCATCAAACTCTTCAATTGTATTCCGTCCTCTCTTTTCTAAAACATCCTTAGCCTCTGCCATAACTTTCATCAGTACAACTTTCACTTCTTCTGGAACTAAAGCACAGGGTTCAAAATCCTATCTACTATCGGCAATATGACACTTGAATGTAAAAATTCCTCCATTGAATATTTTTGAGCAATGATTACATTTAACTTTTTTTTCCATTGCCAAACATCTATTCCGTGTTTCCATCCAATGTTGGTCTTGTTTCCTCATGCATTTTTACTTCTAGGTCTAGGAAGTGAAGATGCACTAATATTGGGATCACAAGAATTTGATACAGTCCCACTTCCAAACATTGTAAATCAGTCTCAATCAACTAAAAATGAAATAATTTGTTTTTTTTTAGAAAACTAGATATACTAAACAATAAATTAAATAAAAGAAACAAATATGTGTGTAGGAAACCCTATCCGTATGAGCAAAGGTGAAATTTCTACTACTTCAACAATTGAACACTAAGTCATGATGTAGAACTTTATCATTTCTCCAAGGCTTGTCCCAAGCCTGCACTCCTACAACACAAGAAAGCATTAGCAAAGTCAAATATTAAAAGAAAACCCATAGGAGTAAGAAAATCAAGCAACAATTAAACTTGAATTAGCAATACTTGTTCAACATGAAGACAAACTGTTTACATTTACCTACAGATAAAAGCTCATACTATGGTAATACAGTTCATGAAGAAAAAGAAGAAAAAAATCCAATCCCATAAAGTTAAACAGTAACAAGTTTTTCCAGCTATATGATTCTATCATTTAACATCCATACATTTTCCCCATCTTTGTCCAAGCAAAGAACTTGTCTCACATATGCCCGATCAAGTTGACGTGACCAATTGACAACTATACTGCAAATAAGGACATGACTTTTTTTTTAACATAAATTGAATGATATTGAACCTTGTCCCGCAAGGGTCAAAAGCTTTGAAAGCACCATTTTCAGAAGATAAGTTTTGTTTTTCCAGATCAAACCTGATGATTGAAATTCATACATAAAGCAGCAAGTAAGCTACTGATCCTTAGTTAGTATGATCTCATTAAGACACACTTAACCATCACAAGTGACCATACAAACCACAATGGTGTATCCAGATGTTGTCATTTGATGTATTACCCATCAAAACGTCAGAGCAATAATTTGGCATTATTTTTCCACTAACGAGGAACAAAATATTATGTTACGAAAAAGTTAAAGGAGTTTTGTTAATTGTTATGATATCTTCCCTATCCTATAAGATCCATGCCAGTCCAAATTCAAAAGTACACGGATGAAAATACATCTTTATAAAAAAAGCAACATCTAAACATGATATTTATGCTAGGTTATACAAAAACATTGAAGATTATTATTTTAAAGAATTTGTGCTAAGCTTTTCATGATTCAATCATTTATAACGCACCAAGTAGTTTAACTTAGACAGCAAGCTTGAACCAGAGAAATTTCTCATGATTTAACAATTTGAGAACTGCCCAATGCTGCACCAACCTCCTCTTTTCCTTGAACACTAACTTTTTCCTGATACAGCTTTAATAGTTGACATGATTCCTCCTTAAAACATGTCACAAACCTTGCAAGAAATAACTTTTCAGAAACACTAATCGGAGAAACAAAGCTGGCCCTTTTCCTCAAGCCTTTAGCAAGTAAATGCTGGAGAACACGGGCCCTTGGCATGATTGTCTTTTCTATACTCAAACCGAAAATCTTTGGACAATGGACAAGTTCCAAAGCATCCCTTCCCAACTGATTGACCCAAAGGTTCATCACAGCATTTATTTTTTTAATAGATGTCAACATAACGTGAGGGTGCCTCCTAAATGCTTCAGACACAGCTTCATCAGACCAACCCCATTTCTTGAAGGTATCAACTTTCTCCTTCCACAGGGAAGGACTTGTTTTTTTTATGGCCATCAACGCTATAACAAAAGTTGCTTTTGAAGGATCAAACCCCAAATCCTTTACTTCCTTCACCAACTTAATTATATCATTTGAGGCAAAGATCACCTTACTATGGTTCCCAAGCAATCTTGCAATGTTTGATTCTTTTACTTCATTCTCTAGCAGCAATATGATGTTGTGCGCCAGACGATCCCCGCAAGAGTAAAATGTATTACCAAACATACAACGAGTAGTCCTCACATGAGATTGCAAGAACTTATATATCAATTCATAGGTTGGGACTATATGATTCTCCAGGCTTGGACGCAGTACTCTAGGGTACTTACTTATTAGGTCAACAATTTCAGAGCTAGAAACATCCTTTGAGAGAAAAAACTCAAACTTTGGCAATAACCTTTTGCAGGGGTCACAAGAAAGCAACCACGGTGCCTTTGTAACCATATAGTTTATTTGAATATTAGAGAAACCGTGATTTCTGAAGAACCTGATCACTGTCTCGGGCTTTTCTGAGGTCTGGAAACAAATATTGTAGGACTTAGATGTTTTGGAAGCAGATTCAGGAGAGAATCCAAAGTTGTCAACGAGGTAGGATACCGCAAATGAGGGTGAATTTGAAGTGGCTGTGCAGAAACAGAGAGAAAGGAGGAATGGGTAGTGGTGGATAAAAGGGTAAGGTGACGTTGCTGTGGAAGTGACACATTTCAAGTACAGAAGTTTATTCAACATGGTGATGGGGTGAAAAACACAAGCTTTTCGAATTGAAGAAAATTCCTGAAAATTGAAAAGGCAAAGGATGGAAGGACAATGATGTTACCTGAGCTTGGTACTGAGTAACTCAGATTTTGAATGTTTGATTCTTTTACTTCATTCTCTAGCAGCAATATGATGTTGTGCGCCAGACGATCCCCGCAAGAGTAAAATGTATTACCAAACATACAACGAGTAGTCCTCACATGAGATTGCAAGAACTTATATATCAATTCATAGGTTGGGACTATATGATTCTCCAGGCTTGGACGCAGTACTCTAGGGTACTTACTTATTAGGTCAACAATTTCAGAGCTAGAAACATCCTTTGAGAGAAAAAACTCAAACTTTGGCAATAACCTTTTGCAGGGGTCACAAGAAAGCAACCACGGTGCCTTTGTAACCATATAGTTTATTTGAATATTAGAGAAACCGTGATTTCTGAAGAACCTGATCACTGTCTCGGGCTTTTCTGAGGTCTGGAAACAAATATTGTAGGACTTAGATGTTTTGGAAGCAGATTCAGGAGAGAATCCAAAGTTGTCAACGAGGTAGGATACCGCAAATGAGGGGAATTTGAAGTGGCGGTGCAGAACAAGAGAGGAAAGGAGGAAGCGAATGGGTAGTGGGAGATAAAAGGGTAAGGTGGGACGTTGCAGGTGGATGAAGCAGCAGTGACACATTTCAAGTACAGAAGTTTATTCAACATGGTGATGGGGGGTGTAATGAAAAACACAAGCTTTTCGAATTGAAGAAATTAATGTAAAAAATTGAAAAAGGAAAAATGGATGGAAGGAACACAATTTGATGTTACCTGAGCTTGGTACTGAGTAACTCAGATTTTGCGACAGATACAAGCTCCTGTTTCAAACCTCCCTCCTATTTTTCTGTTAGGGTTCCATTCCATATCTGTTCTCACACAGAGAAACAAAAGATCAACCGTGTAGAATTAAAGACCTGGAGCCGAATTTCTAAAAGAAATAAATAAAAAGAAGACAAAATAATCACACAAATGAATTAGAAAATTGTAATTAGAAAATTGTTCTGTAACATAATTTAAGGATCAAGTAATGTATTAATCCAATTCTAAATAAAAAAATAACTATAATTAAATTTACACGGATTAGAAGAGTTTATTACATCTTATTTAATTCGTGAAAAATAACAAATAATACAAAAAAAAGAAGGTAGACTTGAATTATGTTTGTATTATGTGTGTGTGGTTTTAAATTGTTATAATTAGATAAATAACTATAACATACAATAAAAATATTTTTAATATTTTTTTAATAGTTCGATAGATTTTATATATTTTGTTTAATTTTTGACAAACTATTTAAGTTTTATTAAAGAGATTAATGGTACAGTACAAATAAACATATCTTGGATAAGACATTGTTAGTTTAACTAAGTTTTATTTTAATAAGTTAGCATAACTTTTAATCTATTATTTTTTGAACAAGTCATTTTTAGCTTAATGGAGTATTTTTTTTTTTAACTCTTGGTCACTATTGTTGAACCTAATCTAATTATTAAGTATTTTAAAAGTAATAACAATGTGGATCATACTCTAGATAGTTATGTCATGAAATATATATGTTTTTATCGAACAAATTAGAGAATATTTCAATTTAATTTTAATCTCAATAAATGTTTTAGTAAAGTTTAAGTTTCATCAAATTCGTTTAAAGACTTTCCTTACATTATTTACTCGAGCTTTGGAAATATTGTGAGTTAATGACAATTTAAAGTTTTAGATTGTTCTTATCATTGAATTGATCAACATTTACTAATTAGGCATAGTGGACCTTGACATAGTATTCTATTGTATATAAGGTGAATCACAAAGACTCATCTGATCAACATCTATTAGACATGTCTTCTTTATTTTAAGTTTTGAGTTTTATTGCAGTTATAGATTAAAACATGAAACTGTTCAAATTTTATATTAACACGATTTTCCCTTTAATACAATCCAGATACTAGATTATATGTTCTAGTTCTAGTGTCAGATGATACGATCTTGTCCAAAAGGTAATATGATCACTTTTAAATTTGGATCCTCAAAAGACAACAAAAATAAATAAAAAAAGAACATGATATAAGATAAGATCACGGATTCGGAGTCTAATATATTAATAAGTCAAATAAAAATTTATCACAAAAATATTAATATTTAACAAAAATAAAAGTTCTAATCTAATAACCAAGATAATCATATTTTAAAGAATACAAATACCTATAATATGACTAAAAAATGTGTTTAAATATATTTGGTGTCTCTGTATAAATATAAATGTTTAAATAACCTAAGAAACTTTAAAAAAAACCCAAAAATAATCTTCTATGACTTATTTTTTTTATTTTTACCTTTAATTATATGTATTAGATATGTTGAAAAGTAAAAAATTGCATCGAACTAATTAAAATTTATTTGTATTACTAAACATGAACGTCTGTTTTTTTTTTAATTGGAGAAGAGTTTAATCTGGGCTTTTGTTTAGAATCATTTCTTTATCACATATCAGTGTTCTAAATATTAAAACACAAAATACGTTAAAGATACTGATTTTAGTGACTTCTTCATAAACATAGGAAATATTACATTATACCCAATTTACAAATAAACATAGGAAATATTTCAGTTAAACTTCTTCATAAACAGTTCCAGACAAAAAAAAAATCCCAATAAATTAAAAACAAGGCATCTATATATTAATCCTATCACTCCCTCACTCATCTCTTAATCTCAAAGACAAGAGTATAATGCATAGAGGCTTCAATTTCACAGTAGCAATTCCTAGTCCCTACTCACTCATGATTAAGGCTCTCAACATTGAGGGAGTTCGGATATGAACCATTACATTCTTTCATAACCAACTATTTAATACCACATGCTCAATTTTTCTGAAGTTCCAAATTTGCTTTATTTTCACTCATCAAAGTTGAAGCTTCCACTCCTCCTTGTATCTTACAAGGATTACAGCAATTTTTTTGCACTATTTGTTTCTAAAGTTTTTATCTAATATCAATGTATTATGGATGTTTGTAGCCAACTCCATATCTTCCAATCATCTCACATTTTTGCAAGTGAAAGATATCTAATAACATTGAATGGAATGGCACTCATGTAAAAAAATTCTGCCATTTTAGCATCAACTTTTTATTTATCCCCTTTCTTATACACTTGATGTAAAGTAGATTGAACACCTTGACCAAATTTGCCCTTTCCTTTATTTTTGAAGATCATACTTTGGTATCCACCTCTTCAAATGCTTATCATCAAACTCTTCAATTGTATTCCGTCCTCTCTTTTCTAAAACATCCTTAGCCTCTGCCATAACTTTCATCAGTACAACTTTCACTTCTTCTGGAACTAAAGCACAGGGTTCAAAATCCTATCTACTATCGGCAATATGACACTTGAATGTAAAAATTCCTCCATTGAATATTTTTGAGCAATGATTACATTTAACTTTTTTTTCCATTGCCAAACATCTATTCCGTGTTTCCATCCAATGTTGGTCTTGTTTCCTCATGCATTTTTACTTCTAGGTCTAGGAAGTGAAGATGCACTAATATTGGGATCACAAGAATTTGATACAGTCCCACTTCCAAACATTGTAAATCAGTCTCAATCAACTAAAAATGAAATAATTTGTTTTTTTTTAGAAAACTAGATATACTAAACAATAAATTAAATAAAAGAAACAAATATGTGTGTAGGAAACCCTATCCGTATGAGCAAAGGTGAAATTTCTACTACTTCAACAATTGAACACTAAGTCATGATGTAGAACTTTATCATTTCTCCAAGGCTTGTCCCAAGCCTGCACTCCTACAACACAAGAAAGCATTAGCAAAGTCAAATATTAAAAGAAAACCCATAGGAGTAAGAAAATCAAGCAACAATTAAACTTGAATTAGCAATACTTGTTCAACATGAAGACAAACTGTTTACATTTACCTACAGATAAAAGCTCATACTATGGTAATACAGTTCATGAAGAAAAAGAAGAAAAAAATCCAATCCCATAAAGTTAAACAGTAACAAGTTTTTCCAGCTATATGATTCTATCATTTAACATCCATACATTTTCCCCATCTTTGTCCAAGCAAAGAACTTGTCTCACATATGCCCGATCAAGTTGACGTGACCAATTGACAACTATACTGCAAATAAGGACATGACTTTTTTTTTAACATAAATTGAATGATATTGAACCTTGTCCCGCAAGGGTCAAAAGCTTTGAAAGCACCATTTTCAGAAGATAAGTTTTGTTTTTCCAGATCAAACCTGATGATTGAAATTCATACATAAAGCAGCAAGTAAGCTACTGATCCTTAGTTAGTATGATCTCATTAAGACACACTTAACCATCACAAGTGACCATACAAACCACAATGGTGTATCCAGATGTTGTCATTTGATGTATTACCCATCAAAACGTCAGAGCAATAATTTGGCATTATTTTTCCACTAACGAGGAACAAAATATTATGTTACGAAAAAGTTAAAGGAGTTTTGTTAATTGTTATGATATCTTCCCTATCCTATAAGATCCATGCCAGTCCAAATTCAAAAGTACACGGATGAAAATACATCTTTATAAAAAAAGCAACATCTAAACATGATATTTATGCTAGGTTATACAAAAACATTGAAGATTATTATTTTAAAGAATTTGTGCTAAGCTTTTCATGATTCAATCATTTATAACGCACCAAGTAGTTTAACTTAGACAGCAAGCTTGAACCAGAGAAATTTCTCATGATTTAACAATTTGAGAACTGCCCAATGCTGCACCAACCTCCTCTTTTCCTTGAACACTAACTTTTTCCTGATACAGCTTTAATAGTTGACATGATTCCTCCTTAAAACATGTCACAAACCTTGCAAGAAATAACTTTTCAGAAACACTAATCGGAGAAACAAAGCTGGCCCTTTTCCTCAAGCCTTTAGCAAGTAAATGCTGGAGAACACGGGCCCTTGGCATGATTGTCTTTTCTATACTCAAACCGAAAATCTTTGGACAATGGACAAGTTCCAAAGCATCCCTTCCCAACTGATTGACCCAAAGGTTCATCACAGCATTTATTTTTTTAATAGATGTCAACATAACGTGAGGGTGCCTCCTAAATGCTTCAGACACAGCTTCATCAGACCAACCCCATTTCTTGAAGGTATCAACTTTCTCCTTCCACAGGGAAGGACTTGTTTTTTTTATGGCCATCAACGCTATAACAAAAGTTGCTTTTGAAGGATCAAACCCCAAATCCTTTACTTCCTTCACCAACTTAATTATATCATTTGAGGCAAAGATCACCTTACTATGGTTCCCAAGCAATCTTGCAATGTTTGATTCTTTTACTTCATTCTCTAGCAGCAATATGATGTTGTGCGCCAGACGATCCCCGCAAGAGTAAAATGTATTACCAAACATACAACGAGTAGTCCTCACATGAGATTGCAAGAACTTATATATCAATTCATAGGTTGGGACTATATGATTCTCCAGGCTTGGACGCAGTACTCTAGGGTACTTACTTATTAGGTCAACAATTTCAGAGCTAGAAACATCCTTTGAGAGAAAAAACTCAAACTTTGGCAATAACCTTTTGCAGGGGTCACAAGAAAGCAACCACGGTGCCTTTGTAACCATATAGTTTATTTGAATATTAGAGAAACCGTGATTTCTGAAGAACCTGATCACTGTCTCGGGCTTTTCTGAGGTCTGGAAACAAATATTGTAGGACTTAGATGTTTTGGAAGCAGATTCAGGAGAGAATCCAAAGTTGTCAACGAGGTAGGATACCGCAAATGAGGGTGAATTTGAAGTGGCTGTGCAGAAACAGAGAGAAAGGAGGAATGGGTAGTGGTGGATAAAAGGGTAAGGTGACGTTGCTGTGGAAGTGACACATTTCAAGTACAGAAGTTTATTCAACATGGTGATGGGGTGAAAAACACAAGCTTTTCGAATTGAAGAAAATTCCTGAAAATTGAAAAGGCAAAGGATGGAAGGACAATGATGTTACCTGAGCTTGGTACTGAGTAACTCAGATTTTGCGACAGATACAAGCTCCTGTTTCAAACCTCCCTCCTATTTTTCTGTTAGGGTTCCATTCCATATCTGTTCTCACACAGAGAAACAAAAGATCAACCGTGTAGAATTAAAGACCTGGAGCCGAATTTCTAAAAGAAATAAATAAAAAGAAGACAAAATAATCACACAAATGAATTAGAAAATTGTAATTAGAAAATTGTTCTGTAACATAATTTAAGGATCAAGTAATGTATTAATCCAATTCTAAATAAAAAAATAACTATAATTAAATTTACACGGATTAGAAGAGTTTATTACATCTTATTTAATTCGTGAAAAATAACAAATAATACAAAAAAAAGAAGGTAGACTTGAATTATGTTTGTATTATGTGTGTGTGGTTTTAAATTGTTATAATTAGATAAATAACTATAACATACAATAAAAATATTTTTAATATTTTTTTAATAGTTCGATAGATTTTATATATTTTGTTTAATTTTTGACAAACTATTTAAGTTTTATTAAAGAGATTAATGGTACAGTACAAATAAACATATCTTGGATAAGACATTGTTAGTTTAACTAAGTTTTATTTTAATAAGTTAGCATAACTTTTAATCTATTATTTTTTGAACAAGTCATTTTTAGCTTAATTGGAGTATTTTTTTTTTTAACTCTTGGTCACTATTGTTGAACCTAATCTAATTATTAAGTATTTTAAAAGTAATAACAATGTGGATCATACTCTAGATAGTTATGTCATGAAATATATATGTTTTTATCGAACAAATTAGAGAATATTTCAATTTAATTTTAATCTCAATAAATGTTTTAGTAAAGTTTAAGTTTCATCAAATTCGTTTAAAGACTTTCCTTACATTATTTACTCGAGCTTTGGAAATATTGTGAGTTAATGACAATTTAAAGTTTTAGATTGTTCTTATCATTGAATTGATCAACATTTACTAATTAGGCATAGTGGACCTTGACATAGTATTCTATTGTATATAAGGTGAATCACAAAGACTCATCTGATCAACATCTATTAGACATGTCTTCTTTATTTTAAGTTTTGAGTTTTATTGCAGTTATAGATTAAAACATGAAACTGTTCAAATTTTATATTAACACGATTTTCCCTTTAATACAATCCAGATACTAGATTATATGTTCTAGTTCTAGTGTCAGATGATACGATCTTGTCCAAAAGGTAATATGATCACTTTTAAATTTGGATCCTCAAAAGACAACAAAAATAAATAAAAAAAGAACATGATATAAGATAAGATCACGGATTCGGAGTCTAATATATTAATAAGTCAAATAAAAATTTATCACAAAAATATTAATATTTAACAAAAATAAAAGTTCTAATCTAATAACCAAGATAATCATATTTTAAAGAATACAAATACCTATAATATGACTAAAAAATGTGTTTAAATATATTTGGTGTCTCTGTATAAATATAAATGTTTAAATAACCTAAGAAACTTTAAAAAAAACCCAAAAATAATCTTCTATGACTTATTTTTTTTATTTTTACCTTTAATTATATGTATTAGATATGTTGAAAAGTAAAAAATTGCATCGAACTAATTAAAATTTATTTGTATTACTAAACATGAACGTCTGTTTTTTTTTTAATTGGAGAAGAGTTTAATCTGGGCTTTTGTTTAGAATCATTTCTTTATCACATATCAGTGTTCTAAATATTAAAACACAAAATACGTTAAAGATACTGATTTTAGTGACTTCTTCATAAACATAGGAAATATTACATTATACCCAATTTACAAATAAACATAGGAAATATTTCAGTTAAACTTCTTCATAAACAGTTCCAGACAAAAAAAAAATCCCAATAAATTAAAAACAAGGCATCTATATATTAATCCTATCACTCCCTCACTCATCTCTTAATCTCAAAGACAAGAGTATAATGCATAGAGGCTTCAATTTCACAGTAGCAATTCCTAGTCCCTACTCACTCATGATTAAGGCTCTCAACATTGAGGGAGTTCGGATATGAACCACTATCCCTATGAGCAAAGGTACCGTTTCTACAACTTCAACAACTGAACACTACAAAGTCATGATGCAGAACTTTATCATTTCTCCAAGGCTTGCCCTAAGCCTTCACTTCTAAACTAAACAAAAGAAAGCATTACCAGAATCAAATATTAAAAGAAAAACCATAGAAGTTAGAAAATTAAGTAACAATTAAACTCGAATTAGTAATACTTGTTCAACATGAAGACAAACTGTTTATACCTACAGATAAAAGCTCATACTATGGTAATACAGTCCATGAAGAAAAAGAAAAAAAATTCAATGACAAAGTAAAACAGTAACAAGTTCTTGCAGCTAGATGATTCTGTCATTTAACATGCTTATATTTTCTTCATCTTTCTCCAAGCAAAGAACTTGTCTGACATGTGCCCTATCAGATTGACATGACCAATTGACAACTATGGAGCAAATAAGGACATGACTTTTTTTCACATAAATTGAATGATATTGAAGCCTGTCCCCCAAGGGTCAAAAGCTTTGAAAGCACCATTTCCAGAAGGTAAGTTTTCTCCAGATCAAACCTGATGATTGAAATTCATAACTAAAGCAGGAAGTAAGCTACTGATCGTAGTTAGTATGATCTCACTCAGACACACTTAACCATCACAAGTGACCATACAAACTACAATGGTGTATCCGGATGTTGTCATTTGATGCATTACCCATCTAAACATCAGAGCAATAATTTGACATTATTTTTCAACTAAAAAGGAACAAAATTTTATGTTACGCAAAAGTTAAAGGAATTTTGTTAATTGTAATGATATCTTCCCTATCCTATAAGATCCATGCCAGTCCAAACTCAAAAGTACACGGATGCAAATACATCTCTATAAAAAACGCAACATCAAAACATGATATTTATGCTAGGTTATACAAAAAAAATTGAAGGTAATTACTTTTAAGAATTTGTGCTAAGCTTTTCATGCTCCAATCATTTATAACGCACCAAGTAGTTTAACTTAGACAGCAAGCTTGAACCAAACAAATTTGTCCTCATGAGTTAACAATTTGAGAACTGCCCCATGCTGCACCAACCTCCTCTTTTCCTTGAACACTAACTTTTTCCTGATACAGCTTTAATAGTTGACATGATTCCTCCTTAAAACATGTCACAAACCTTGCAAGAAATATCTTTTCAGAAACATTAATCGGATAAACAAAGTTGGCTCTTTTCCTCAAGCCTTTAGCAAGTAAATGCTGGAGAACACGGGCCCTTGGCATGATTGTCTTTTCTATACTCAAACCGAAAATCTTTGGACAATGGACAAGTTCCAAAGCATCCCTTCCCAACTGATTGACCCAAAGGTTCATCACAGCATTTATTTTTTTAATAGATGTCAACATAACGTGAGGGTGCCTCCTAAATGCTTCAGACACANACAAAAAAAATTGAAGGTAATTACTTTTAAGAATTTGTGCTAAGCTTTTCATGCTCCAATCATTTATAACGCACCAAGTAGTTTAACTTAGACAGCAAGCTTGAACCAAACAAATTTGTCCTCATGAGTTAACAATTTGAGAACTGCCCCATGCTGCACCAACCTCCTCTTTTCCTTGAACACTAACTTTTTCCTGATACAGCTTTAATAGTTGACATGATTCCTCCTTAAAACATGTCACAAACCTTGCAAGAAATAGCTTTTCAGAAACAGAAATCGGATAAACAAAGTTGGCACTTTTCCTCAAGCCTTTAGCAAGTAAATGCTGGACAACACGGGCCCTTGGAATGATTGTCTTCTCCATACTCAAACCGAAAATCTTTGGACAATGGACAAGTTCCAAAGCATCCCTTCCCAACTGATTGACCCAAAGGTTCATCACAGCATTTATTTTTTTAATAGATGTCAACATAACGTGAGGGTGCCTCCTAAATGCTTCAGACAAGGCTTCATCAGACCAACCCCATTTCTTGAAGGTATCAACTTTCTGCTTCCACAGGGAAGGACTCGTTTCTTTCTTGGCCTTCAACGCTATAGCAAAAGTTGCTTTTGAAGGATCAAATCCCAAATCATTTAATTCCTTCACCAACTTAATGATATCATTTGAGCCAAAGACCCCCTTACTACGGTTCCCAAGCAATCTTGCAATGTTCGATTCTCTCACTCCATTCTCCAGCAACAATCTGATGTTGTGTGCTAGTAGATCGCCCCGACAGAAAAATGAATTATTAAGCATACAACCAATAGTCTTCACATCAGATTGCAAGAACTTATATATCAATTCATAGTTTGGAACTATCTGATTCTTCAGGCTTGAACCCAGTACTGTAGGGTACTTATTCACTAGGTCAACAATTTCATAGCTAGAAACACCCTTTGAGAGAAAAAATTCAAGCTTTGGCATTACCCTTTTGCATGGGTCACAGGAAAGCAACCATGGTAACCTTCTAACCATATAGTTTATTTGGATATTAGAGAAACCGTTATTTCTGAAGAACCTGATCACCGTCTCGGGCTTTTCTGAGGTCTGGAAACAAATATTGTAGGACTTAGATGTTTTGGAAGCAGATTCAGGAGAGAATCCAAAGTTGTCAATGAGGTAGGATACCGCAAATGAGCGTGAATTTGAAGTGGCAGTGCAGAAACAGAGAGAAAAGAGGAATGGGTAGTGGTGGATAAAAGGGTAAGGTGATGTTGCTGTGGAAGTGACACATTTCAAGTACAGAAGTTTATTCAACATGGTGATGAGGTGAAAAACACCTAAGCTTTTCAAATTGAAGAAAAATCCTAAAAATTGAAAAGGCAAAGGATTGAAGGACAATGATGTTACCTGAGCTTCTTACTGAGTAACTCAGATTTTGAGACAGATACAAGCTCCTGTTTCAAACCTCACTCCTATTTTTCTGTTAGGGTTCCATTCAATATCCGTTCTCAAAGAGAGAAACAAAATATCAACTGTGTAGAATTAAAGACCTAGAACCCAATTCAAAAAGAAATAAATAAAAAAGACAAAATAACAGCACAAATGAATTAGAACATTGTTCTATAACATAACTTAAGGATGCAAGTGATGTATTAACCCAATTCTAAATAAAAATAACTATAATTAAATTTTCACGGATTAGAAGGGTTGATTACATCTTATTTAATTTGTGAAAAATAATAATAATACAGAAAAAAGGTAGACTTGAATTATGTTTTTAAATTTTTTTAATTATAATGTCTTAATATGTGTACTAATAAATGGTGTATTATATATATAGAGAGAGATATGTGTGTGTGAGTTAGGTTTTAAATTTTTATAATTAGATAAATAATTATATCATACAATATAAAATATTATGAAAATTAAATATTTTAAATATTTTTTTAATAGTTCGATTGATTTTATATATTTTGTTCAATTTTTGACGAACTATTTAAGTTTTATTAAAGAGATTAATGCTGGGTGCAGCTAAATATTGTTAGTTTAACTAAGTTTTATTTCAATAACTTAGTATAATTTATTCTATTATTTTTTGAACATTAGAATAACTTTTTAACTCCTAGTCACTATTGATGTACCTAATTTAAGTTTTAAGTACTTTTTTTTATACAGACAATTTTTTGCTTAACTTTGACAGACTATTCCTAACTTGGGACAAATATAATGTCGAAATAATAATAAAATTATAGTTTATTTTATCACCAGGGAGTGGAATGTTTTTTAACATATATAATGATTGAACTCTTCCAATTAATTTATTGGGATGAAACAAACACTTTATTCTTACAAAGTTTATAGGACAAAGAGAAAATTCCGTGTTTTTTTTACATTCACAAAAATGATAGTTATTATTCTTTTTAAAGTAGTTTTTATATAGGTTAAGAAGAAGTTACAATTGCAAATTCTTTTTTATCTGTTAAGTAGCTTTGAACTTACTTGTATTGAGTGTGCTTATTGCACCATTAATTGTTCTTTTCTCCTTTACAAAACTTCTTCGGTAGCTCGTAATACTTGTCTTTATAAATTGTAGACATTTGTTTTTACTTTCAAAAGTAATGACAATGCACATCCTAGTAGATAGCTATGTCATAAAATATATATGTTTTTGTCGAACAAAGATAGAGGACATTTCAATTTTAACTTTACTCCCAATAAATGTTTGAGTGATGTTTAAGCTTCATCAAATTTGTTTTAAGACTTTCCTTGTATTATTTACTCGAGCTTTAAAAATATTTTGAGTTCGTGACAATTTAAAGTTTTAGATTGTTCTTATCATTGAATTAATCAATATTTACTAATTAGACACAATGAAACTTGACATAGTGTTTTATTGTCTATAAGATGAATCACAAATACTGAGATCTGATTAACATCTCTTGACACGTCTTCTTCATTTTTAAGTTTTGAGTTTTATTGTAACTCTAGATTAAAACATCAAAGTGTTCATATTTTGCAATAACACAGTTTTCCTTTTGATACATTTAACCATCACAAGTGACCATACAAACTACAATGGTGTATCTGAAGGCTGTCATTTGATGTATACCCAGCTAAACGTCTGTGCAATAAGTTGACATTATTTTCCCACTAACAAGGAACAAATCATTAAGTTACACAAAAGTTAAAGGAGTTTTGATAATTGTTATGATATCTTGCCTATCCTATATAAGATCAATTACCAAAATAGTTGAAATATTTCAATCCAGAAACCAAACCAAAAAATTTTTTTTGACATGTATACAAACTAATAACTAAAAGATCCTTGCCAGTGCATACTTCAATGCAAGGATGACATAGAGACTTTTATTCCAAAGGCAACGACAAAAAAAATGTGTGTAAACTAGGTTGCAGATGAGCATTGGATATTAAAGAATTTGAGCTAAACTTTTCATGCTATAGTCACATTTATATAGTGTCAAGCAACTGATATAAATCACAAATGTGGTGGCAATTGCAGAAAGCATTCCAACCCATCAGAATGAAACAATTCATTTAATCAGTTGAATTTAAACATGACTAAATCCAAGTTATAAGGGATGAAGAAATACAAACTTCTGGAATCAGAGAAATTACTTCTCGTTAGTTAACCATTTGATCATCCTCTTTTAGTCTTTGAATTGGTACAGCTTTGATAGTTCACTTGTCTCCTCCTTAAAACGCATCACATAGTTTTCAATAAATACCTTATCAGAAACAGAAAATGGCGTAATCAAGCTGGCACTCTTACTCCTCAAACCTTTCTTGAGTAAATACTGGACAACATGTGCCCTTGGAATGATTCTTCTCTCCAAACTAAATCCAAAAATCTCTGGCTTCTTGGTAAGAGCCAAATAGTCCCAACCTAATTGCTTAACCCAAAATCTCATAATCCTATCAATCTTATCTTGGGACACCAACATTACGAGGGGTTGCCTCCTAAACACTCTAAGAACCAATTCTTCAGACCAACCCCATCTCTTAAAGGCATCAACTTTCCTCTCCCATCGCGATTTCGGAATGGTCGTTTTCGCCAGCAGCGCGATGGCAAAGCTCAACTTGGAAGGATCGAACCCCATTTCCTTAACCTCATCCAAAGTCCTCTTCAAGGAAGAACACAAGATTATAGAAATTCTCCTGCGTAACAAAAAGGCTTGTACACGATCAGTGACTCCATCATCAACCAAAAGTTTCACATTCTTCACCACACGATCAGTACCAAAGAAATGACTACAAGAGCGTATGCAATCCATCGTTTCCTTATCAGTTTGAAAAAACTTCCTCATCAGTTCATACGAAGGGACAATGTTATTCTCGAGGCTGCAGTAAAGGATTCTGGGGCTCCTACTCACCAGTTCCACAATGTCAGAGCGTGAGGCCCCTTTGGAGAGTAAAAACTCGAACTTTGGAAAAACCCTTTTGTGGGGGTCGCAAGTGAGAACATTGGGTGCTGTTCTGACGATGCTGTTTATCTGGGTGTTGCTGAATCCGTTGTCTCTGAAGAAGGCGATGACTGAGTCGGGCTTTTCCGAGGTTTCGAATTGAATGAATTTGGAAGCCTTCAGAGCGGTTTCTGGGGAGAACCCGCGGTCGTTTACGAGGTAGGAGACCGTGAAAGAATGTTGCTGTGAAGCATTTGAGGAGTGTTTCAGAGAGAGTATCGAGGGGAAAAGATTGTTGGGTTGTGGGGTTTGAAGAGGGGTTCTTGAGAGTGACTTCAGATAGAGAAAAAATGGTTTGAAGCGTTGGGAATGAAACATATCCGAGTGTATGGATTACCGAAGAACTGTGATTCGAAGGGAGACTTCATTCAGTGTCGCAGTTTTGTTTGATGTGATTTGTAATCTTCATAATCCCAAATCACCATGTGTTTTAGGGTTTGTCTATCTTTAGCCCATATTTAAATAAATAAATAAATAAACGTCAATTTCTATTTGGCAGAATAAAATAAATAAATAAAAAGAAGGGTAAAAGTATAAATTGTTTGTTATAAAGAGATGGAAGAAAATATGAGGAAAAGAAATTGAGATTTTAAAGTAAACAAATATATTTAATGAAAAATATAATTGTATTCTTAAAAAATAATTCAAATGTAATTATGACTGAACGTGTTATGAGATTTAAAAAAAAATAATTATACTTTTACAACATTTTTTTAACAACATTTTAACTATGTCTATGTGTCATTATATGATTGGTCTATATTGATATTTATGATTATTATTATTGATTGTGAAATAATTTTGGACCACGCAGACAGTGTTAAAATGTTGTCAAAAAAATTTTGTCAAAGTATCATTGTCATTAAAAAAAATATAAACGCATTGTTTTCTCCACATAATGAACCTAAATAGGAAATTCTTGTAAGCTATTTGTAGGTGTTAGAAATCGTAATATGTAAAATTTTCTTTTACTTCTTCAATTTATTTATTTTTGTTTTTATTGTATAAAAGATCTATATTTTAAAATTTTTAAATATAGAACTATTTTTTGTTCTATTTAAATCATTTTTAAACTTTCCTTAATCAAGTACAAGTTTAATGCAAATAACTTTTGGATTTGGATGGGACCAACATAATATTTTTAAATTTGTCGAAAGAGATATAAAATGAAAGTGTATGTATATATATTTTTTAAAATGGTCATACTTTAAAAAGCTAGATCGATAACACTAAATATATCAAATTCAAAATTCATCATTTATTTTAAGTAGTAATATGTAGGGAGATCAAATAATAAAAAACTTTTAGTTTTCAAATCACATTATTATAAGATAAATTTTAACACTTCACATTCATCAAGGAAAAGGTGATTTACCATAGTTCAATGTATAATCCTTAGTATTATTGAAATTAACTTATTATGGAAATGTACAATTTTATAAATCACACTGAGTTATGGACAAAATGTTATGTTTCATAGTTGAAAAACTTTATATTGTAATAAACTTTACATAATAATATAAAAAGGTTATAAAATTGTTAGTTGAGTCTCTCTAAAAGATATGCACCAAAACAAGCCACGAAAACATCTTCAATATTAGGCTTACACTACAAGAGACATCACAAGGCCGCGTTTGGCGTCAAAACACAACGATGGGTCAGGCATTTCGTCGAGCATCTGGAAGAATCCGGGCAGCATCCGAGGCTGACACCTCATCTTTCTCCAAGCCAAAGAACGCCGTTGATCGCCGACCGCCGCCCACGGTTGCCACCGACAAGGCGGCGCAGATCTCGAAAGCCGCCGAACAAGACGTACTTCAGGCCGGTAATTATGTCTCTCTCTTCTCGTAGGTCCAAAGCTTTTGATTGGGAAATTAGAGCTAAAGGATTACGAAAAAATTGTTCCTTTAACATGATTTCGCTCTGGGAAAATAAAAATGGTTAGAAGGTGCCTTGGAAATTAAGGTAGCTAATGTGGGTTATCCCGAGACAGTATTCTACTGTGTTGTAGTGTTCTAGAACAAGGCTAAGACTGTGGGGGTTTGTGGATGTTACTTTTCAGTTTAAAGTATTCCTTTGTAGTTTTTTTGCATCCACATGGGTTGGGTCATCGGTGTGCAAGTTTAGTCCAGCTGGAAATGGTGTAATGAAAAATTGTGTTTGTGTGTGATGGGGGGAGTTTAGGCATAGCTTGACAGAATAAATGGTTGGACGGTAAGATTTAGGAAAGAAGTTTAACTGGATGTAGATTTTTTATTGTTCACCCATTTCTATCCCTCTATCTACCAATAACTAGTGAAACATCCAAGGGGTCACTTTGTTTCAGAAAATGTTCTGTTTTCACTTTTAATTACAAATTGTGATTTTATTTTTAGTTGGGTTCTAGTATTTAAAAATTTAGTAACAAATTGTGGAAATGGAAAATGAATTCAAAACATTAGTGCAAGTTGATTTCTTTTCAAACCGGTTACGAAATCAAAACAATGTTACATTATTGTGATTAAAAGTGATGGCAGAAAATGAAATTAAAATACATTTTCTCAAACCAAACGACCCAGGTTTTCCATTCCACTCCATTTCCATTCTGTATTTTTGTCCTTGCCGCTGCTGATACCATTAGATTTTTTGTGGTTTTACTTCTTGTAGCACTTATTTATCCATAAAAAAATAAAAAGAATTTGCTTCATGTTAATTTGTGTCATTTTGAAATGTTGCATACATAGACATTGCTTATAATTTAGGTGTTCTTTGTGAAGTTCTATAATGCTACCGTGCTATTTCATTGTGGTTGATTTCACTGTTATTTGGTCTTGGCTTAAGATGATCGTTCTAGAGTTAATATGGACAACGTCCTGGAAGAAAGAGATCCCAAATTTGATGCTATGCTTGGTCAAATGGTTGGTAGAATTAAATCAAAGCCTGGGGGGAAACCTGAGATGGGTGAGGTAAGTTTATATCAAATTGTTTTTACTCTTTCGGTAGAATTGAAGTTGATGCAGAAGTGTCATTACGGTGTGTGTATTAATGGATAACTCCAACATTTCAAATTGTTTTATTCTTCACTCTTTTCCTATGAAATTCTTTTAATGTCGGATGTTGAGTATTATTAAAGTTTGTCACTGTATCCGAAGTACAAAAATGGTACTATTGGCATTGAACATCAAGTAAACCCTGTTTTTCTATATTGGCGTGTTTATCTGCGATCAAATAAAAGGAAATCTCCCAATATAATCCTACCTTTGACTGTATTTTGTATGCCAATATTTGCATAAAATACTGTCATGCATACCTTTTCCATTACCAATCAATGCCGAGTATGGTTTCTGTCATTTGTTACTCATGGTATGAGCAGAGTGCCAAGTTGAACTTGACAAATTTGGTTAACTTTTGGAATGTGTTTGGATGAACTTATTTTAGAGAATTAATAACCTTTTTTAATATCTTCTGACGAGACATTCAAAAGAATTATTTCTCAAAAGGAATGTTACAAATGCAGTTTCAATGGTCAGAGCTTTACTTTTGACTTTTTAGTGCTTATTTACCGAGACAAACTCACCTTACGTCTAGACAATATTGTTATAGGCCTTCGTGGTTGAGAAGTACAACAGGCCAATGCCCAAATTGCGAAACACAAAACCAGATTCTGGGCGCTACGAGGAAAGGCAGGTTCCTGCTGGCACTTTGAATATTGCTCAGTTGCGCCATATCATACTTTTACACGAAGGTAAGGCTGATGATTACAATGGACGTATGAATGCTCAACAGATTGCTGAAAAATTTCAAGTGGATCTTGTTCAGATTCAGAGGATCTTGCAATTCTTATCACAACCTCCAGAAGGTAGCAGTAAAGACAAGAACGAAGCACCAAGATAATAGCTTAACTGACATTACTCACTGGTTCTTTCTTGTCTTAAAATGGCTGTTCTAAATGGATTTCAAGTGCGGACAAAAGTCTTGGGCATTAAAACATGTCCGAAAGAAAGGACAATGCCAAAAGGCCATAACATGAGGTCTTCATTTAACTTGTAATAGACTATATTATCAGGTGCTTGTGCAGCCCCTATTCATAGACTCGAATGACATCGTGATATCAACAATTGCATTTGTACTTCTGACGAGAATTAACCCTGGAGAGGGTGAGTTGCAATAAGTGTTTTGAAACCCTACAGCTGAGATATTGTTTGTTGTTTTTGCATTACTTCACGACAGTTAATAAAACTGAGCAATTTCAGTTTTGTTCTTGCAAGATGCATATATTTGTAAACTCTGATATTTAGATGTACTTACACTGTTAGACTTATTCTATGCAGAGAGATTCGTGTCCCTGCGTCATTAGCCTCGAATTTAATCACCTCGGTCCTAGTCCCTGAGCATAGTTAATTTGGATTGGTTGCAAAACCAGTGCATATAAAACCCTCAAATTGTGGAAGATGAAGTCCGAATGAAGACGGATTTTGAACCATTTAGGATAAATTTGGAAGTAAAAATCCCCTTAACAAGAATAATCCCACCAACAGCTGAAGCGCACCATTTAGAAAAAGGACAATTGATGTCACTCTGCTAAATCTTAGCTTTTACTTGGCTGAATATTCATCTTAAAAGTGAACTAGAATCGTATCCACTATCTCAAAATTGGCATACACCTCTTCCTATCCAGGCGATGACTAAATGGATTAAAAAGAATGAGATAATGAAGATTAAAAAAAAAAAATCCCCTTTTCCCCCTTAGTAAAAAAAATCAAGTCAAAAGAGATTCCAGCCAGTCTGATGTCAATTCATACGCCACAAATGTTACAGCATTAGCTGGTGCAGCTTTAACAGTTGATGGGACTATCCCCTTATATAGACCAGCCCAACCCTCCATTTGTAATATTCGCTTTATGGCATCAAGCATATTGCTGTATGCACGGTGTTCAACCCGAGCTCCATATCTTGGATGCCTTTGTAGACCTTCAATCTGCAGCAAAAACAATGAAGATTCATAATTTGCTTATTTTTTATGGAGGAATGAGGGGTTCAAAATTCTATCATCCACCTGAAATCTTTTCTTGACCACATCAAGTGGATGAGTGGCGAGCTTGGCACATGTTCCTGCACTCACTCCACAGAGGAAAAGCTGAAAGCTAGAGATGTTTTCTGCAGTAGAATTCGAATATTGACGTTGATTCCACGCCTACATTTTTCCCGCATAATACATGCATATTAAAAAACAGGTATCAAAGAATTGCTCACTACAAAGTATGAGTAAAGCATATATCAGTTCTGTGAAGGAATCTTAATATGATGTTACCTCAGTAGACCATATTCGCATTAAAATAAGTTCAAGTATTAGTATACTGACATTTGACACAGTGAGTTATGATGATATTTATTGAAAAGAGAAAAACTCTCCTTCTGTCACTGGCCACTAGCAGTTATAGATATGGAGAGCTGAGACTGGGTATGAGGCATAAACAACATTTTGCTCGGACCAAAATTCAAAATTAACATTAACTGCTTCATAGCTTCCTTGTCATTACAAATAGCCAGTGGGAAAATAATAACCAAACAAACATTCAATACGTGCATGCCATAATTACGTCAAATACAAATAAGTGGAATGGTAAATAGAAGAACTGAAATTTTACCATGGTCCAACGTTTAAATGTATCATAGGTGCCAAATTGTAGAGCTGCATATGGTATAATCTCAACTAGGGTTGGTGACAATCCAGCATACAAGCCTTGGAAGCCACGAGTCTGCACAATATCAACAAATGCCGTTCTCATGTTTGGATAAACCTGAAAAATGGGAAAATATTAGCAAGTCATTGTCCCAAAATTGATTTCATGAGACATCAAGGATCTCAACAGTCTCAAGCTATGCACTCAAAGCTAAAGTTATATAATCAAAGGCCACAAGTGGAAGTGTTTCTTTTTCCATGCTTAAGCTTCTGATACGAAATAACATTAATTGGTTAAGAAGCAAAGGTGGACACTCCGTCACCACAATTGGAAAAATGAATGATCACGAAGCAACTACTCTAAAAGCTTCAGCTGTTAGGTAAAGACACATAAATGAATTACATTACATCTCGCATAATTCCCCCTTAAGCAAGAGTCTTCTAAAGTTTAAAGCAAGGACATGCCAAGCCCACACATATCTAGTGTTGAAATTCAACCTTTTTATTCAAAGAATGGGGATAGCAAGAATAAATTCTAGACCATTTGATCATAGAGGTTTTAATACGATGTCATTGACCAACTATACCAAAACCCTATATTATCAAGTGAATACACAAGGAATGGTATTATATCTTACATTTCTAGCAGGAATTAACAAAAAACACACATAAATGTAGATGTTTCAAGTAGAATGGATCCAGAAAGAAGCAGAAGTAAATGGAAGTGAAGGGTCTTTAAAAAGCATGCCAGCAATTTTCATCATGGATCTTCACAGTTTCCAACTAGTATGCATGACAGTAATTTACTTCAAAACCATCTTGTAACATGGACCTTTTAAAATGCTTATACCTTGGGTTCACCCTGGGAAGCTAATATGGTTCGGAGAAGATCAAAGGGATATGAACCTACAGTAGCAGCACTCCCAGCTATTGCCCCACTCATATAGGATAGATAAGGGCTCAGATTCATGTGATTCTCTGCAGCAACAGAAAGCAAAGCAATGAACATAATAGACCTACAACAGGAAATGCCCAAGTAATTAATAACTCTAGATTGCAGATTGACACGGCTTTGACCTGCCATAAAAACAATGAATAGACCTTGAACTGTATATTCAAAGTTTTAACAACATCAACAAAAAAAATCTGTGCAGACATACACCTAGGAGTAAATTGCAAATTCATGTGTAGAGACAGACACCGAGTAGGCATACCTGTTTTGGAAGAACCAGAGGCAAAAGTCTTCAACTTGTGTAGAACAGTAAATTGTATACTTGTATATGGCATAACCATGAGCAAAGCTGGCACATTTCCCCGCCAAAAACCCTGTAACATGACAGAATTGAGAAAGAGTAACACAGAAACTTTTCCCATAAAAAAGTTGACAGGAAACTTCCAAAAGACATAAAGAATTCAAGCATTATCAGATACATTGATCTCACCAACAGCTTTTTGGTGCCCTCTTAAGGTAAATAGGAATCAGATGCGGATTACTACAGAGAGAAGTGAAGTAGGAGGAAGATTAAACAAAAGTAATAGAAGCTGGGTTGTCCTACCCGTATGCCTTCTTCTCTGAAAATATCTTTGCTTGCTTGAACCATGCTGGTATATTTTGAAGGAGTAGACAAATCCTTGCGTAGTAAAGCCCATGAAGATGTGGGTTCTAGTTGAACCTAACAATGAATGCGCATAACAACTTAATTCAGCTCAGGCTGCAATGAACAACCATGATGATGAACCCAAGTTCCCTAAGTCTAGCTCAAAAATTAAAACATTAACAAGTGCAAACAAATCTTATTGTTCAATCCCACGTTAATGCAACCATTCCCGAGGCCACATAAATTTTAAATAAAATGATAACAACTGAGTAATACCAGATATATTAACCAAGTAAACTGAAAACCTTTCGGCTTTCAATCACCATGAGAGAATGCAATTTTTTTTATAGAAAATAGACCTTTCTTTTATAGAAAAGAAAGAAGAAAAAGTAAAATTGTTTTCAAAATTCCAACCAGATATCACAACCATTGTTAGAATATGTTTTAATAGGATCTTTAGTCTAACTCAATCCCAAAATCCATCTTGTGAGATACAGGTTGTCCCCTCTTATATACACACGATTTTGTCCCTGGATGTGGGGGAACTCCACCATGCTGTTCATTAATTAAACACCAAAAATTACTTTAAAGTGTCTTATTTTCAAGTGTCCTAAAGGAATTAGTTAAGAAGCACAGGATATTTCGATTGAAATTCACAATATTGGAAATCCCAGTAGATATGCATCAATGTAATTTTTTTAAAGAAAATTTTCTATTTCAAACTCCCTTCTGTGTATCATCTTTTTAAAGATTTGTGTTCCTGTTTAATTGTTATTTTTAAAGTTTAAGACAACAATAGTTACTCTTTTGTTACACTCTTACATTTTACTTAACCTGTAATCAGTTTATGTATGCATGGATTTATTGTGCTGTAGAAATGACAATGGTAACATAAAAAATCTTATAAATATGAATATTTTATGAAAATCGAGAAAAATGATTGTAAAAAAACCTTAAAGGACACTTAAAAAGGAATCCCTTAACGGCCAAGTTCACTGATTACCGTTTGCCCATTTTAAAACCAAAAAGAGTTCGACTTAAAACCATTTCCAAAGCAGGACAACTATCTGGCAAATGAAAATCACACAGCAAATACACAATTGGGTGAAAGAAACACAAGTCAATGAAGCCATAAATGCCAACAATAACCACATACTACCTCCCTTTAAAAAAATAACCGAGTTCAATTAAGGAGATAATTATATCAAAACTTACTAACCTTCCAACTTTTTTAAAACATTCTTGTCACCCATCTCGTAAAACGAGCAATTAAAGATATGAAATGCATTAAAGTTAGAGCCTTTCAGTGAAAATAATTAAAATTTGCTTACATTATAATAAAGATACAATCTTTGAACAAAAAGAAATGTCAGAAAGTCAAACCTGAAACCTAATCTTAATAACATCAAGAGGCGACGTGACGGTCCTGGATACAGCGCCGGAAAGAGCTCCGGCGGTGGCATCAATCGCAGCCCGTTTCAGCTGGCTCGGTTCCCCCTCCATTGCAAGAACACCCTCCAATCCCAACTACAACCTGCATCATCACAAAGCAAAATCCACACACGAATAAACCATATAGTAATTAATGACGATCGTTAGGGAAAACGTTAGAATTTCCCTTGAATTTGGAAAGAGAGAGAGAAGGCACCGGCGAGAGAGGAAGAGAAAGGAGGCAATGGAGACGGGAGCGGGCATTGGAGACAGGAAAGGGAAGGGAAATTCGTTGGTTGCCGCCTTATTTGAGTGGAAGATTTTCTATGGCGGCGACTTCTCCGCCTCTGTCTGAGGCGTTGCAGGAATCTTGCAGAGTCTCAGACACAAACACGACGAGTAATATTATGTAATATAAGAAAAGGAAAAGAAAAAGAGAAAAGAAGAGAAGACCGTGGAGATTTTTTTGCATGCAGTGATTGGATCGAACACAGTTATTTCAGGGATGATAATAATATTAATTTAGCTTTCTTTGTGTCGGGCTTAGTACAGATTTTTTTTTTCCATTTCTAGCTTCAACAGCTATTAGTGGAACAGTTACAAGATTTTTTTTTTCTAAAATAGGTTTAAGATGTATACTTGTTATAATTAAAACATATCTATTGACATTTATTAATATCGGTAATTTATTAAGTTTATTTTTTTTCTATTATAATTTTTATGCAGAATATTTAAATCCAAAATTTTGATTAACTTTTACCACTCAGTATCTGCATCTTGGACTGTCTGGCCACGTGTTCCACGAGTTCTTGTATGTTGTTTTTTTCATTTTAATACTTTTTTTATGTATTTAATTTTAAATTTAGTATTTTTAATATTTTATGTTGTTTTGTTTAAATTTAAATATCATTAAAATGTTTAAATTCAAAGCTTAAAGTTTGGAAAAATAACAAATGTGAGAAAATAGATAACTCAAAAGCTATTCAAACAATGGAGACTTTAAAATTTAAACAAAGCCAGTACTAAGATTATTTGAAATATGACAAGTCAAAACACCAGTCAAATTATTCTTTTCTAAATACTGTATACATACATAATAAATTATTATATAGTTTTATGAATTACTTTGTCGAGCTTAGAAAACTTCTCAATTTATAAAATTGTTTAGTAAAAACATTTATGAAATTGCTTAGTATTAAAGACATGTGACTTGTAATCAATGAATTCAATATTATTTTCAGGATATAATAAAATCCGATGAAAACTAATAATTAATTCAGATTGAATTGTTTGCTTCAAGTTTTTAAATGATATTAAATGTTAAGGAATTCTCAATTATAAGTTTAGATTGAAAGTTAGTGTGTCTATCCACGAAAATGTTGTTTATATTATGTCACAATATATCACAATACGTATTGATAATATAAACTATCAAAATATTAACAATTTCTACCTCAATTTCTGTCACAGTACGTATATGAATAAAATATATCATCCTTGAAAATTAACTTTTTTATTTATTTTATTTATGTTTTATAACAATATAACAATGTCTAAAATAGATTTCTTTATTTGATGTACACATTTTTAAAATTTATTTCTATATATAACTACTTTCTTCATTTATAAATACATAACGGTAAACTTTATTGCAATAACCCTCTTATATTCAATTGCTACTTTTGTAACATTTTATACCTATAATGCTTAACTTTCTCTATCTCATATATAAAATAAATAGAGAAAATCAATTAAAATATATTTTAAGGAATTCAATTTTCTAAAACATTTTAATTATAATATATCTTTAAACTGTATTTTTTAATATTTGTCTAATACTATTTTGCTTCTAACATTATTTTTTATTTTATTACAATATATATTATTTCAGACATGGGTGGAAGTCAAAGTTTCGTTATGTTACAAGTTGTTGAAGGTTTGTGTGTTAAATGTTATCAACTATAAGATCGATAGCAAAAAGACAATTTCTACTTTAGAGATCATTAAAGCTTCATCCATAATAAATTAAGATTTATTTGTTCATAGTGTAATGTTTATTTTTTTTTATTTTTTATTTTTTAAATTTATGTTAGTGCCTTGATGGAAGTTCTCACTTTTTGGAAACCATTTGTTTAAGATTTTTCTTAGGAAGAAAATCTGAATATGAAGAAAGAGGTATTTTTTATCTTATTACTATACTACTACTTTGAGTAGCTTGTGAAAGATATTTCATGAAGCATGCATGCTACCAAATGTATATAATACATGAAAAAATAATTATAGTAGAACTAAATAAAAGAATGATATTATTAAAAACAAATTGTAAATAGAGAAATAAATGTCGAATTAAATTATGTACTTAGAGACGAAGATATGAGAAAAAAAGAAGTAAAAATCAATTTTTAAATGATTTATCTCATAACAGTTCTGTAAGTTTCTAATTTTTTGATTTCTAAGAAAGTTGATTATAGGACAAAATTGAAATTAATTTTTAAATGAACAAATATACTGAATGAGAGAAATGATTTTAATATACTAAATGATAATCAAACTATAAAAAAATCTGATAAAAATAAATAAAAGAAAGTTAATACTAAATTTATTAAAACACGTACATTAAAAAACAATGAATTTTGAAGTTTTTTTTGAATGTGAGTGAATTAAGAAATGATAAATCTTGTGATATTCTAATGAATTTTATTTATGAGTTGTTTAGTGTTATATTGGTGTATTACTGGGTATTTATTTAGTTTGTTTTTTCTTCATATTTCTTTTTCTTCTTATATGTGATTATGAGTTTGGTATGGTTTTTTCTTCCACTTTTTTCAATAAAATCTGCATGAAACCTAGAAGTATCTAATTTGTACTTAATTGAGTAAAAAGAAAATAATGAGTAAAAATAATAAAAAGAAATGAAAATGTATGGGTTTTTACCCGAATTTGTAACAGATATATAGCGAACAATTTCTTGATAAGATAATAATAAATAAAATATAATTGATTTTTATTAAAAAATAAAATAAAATGAAAATGAAAACAAAGTGAAAAAGGCAAATTGCATATTCATAAAATATGCTTCTCTGAGTGCAAGTTCTTGTCAAGTGAAAGCAAATGGAAGCCTGACAAGGATCCCAATAACTCAAAACATGCCCACTACTATTCATACACATCAAAAGAAAATAAAATAAAATATAATATTTAGAAAATAAATTTTTAAAAAGAGTAAACATTAAAATTGCCATCTTTTCATATGAATAAATTGATTGATTAATTGTCACATAATAAATATTTAATTTTTTAACTAATTACATAAAAATCCTTTATTATCAAATATAAAAAGTTTATGTCCACATAGAAAGTTTTTAATGAAAACACTATTAATTAAGGATCAATTTAAGTTCTTATTTAAATATTTTTTATTTTAGGTTGAAAACTCGGTTTAAAAACGGTTTTTGAGCCTAACGAGGAATTCCGCGTCCAAGCCGTAGCCCAACCCGCGTGTATGGACATGCGCGCGTGATGACATGACGACTCTACATGCGCATGACACGTTAACTATTCATGCACATTCCAGAGTTAAGGAAAGGGCAAAAAAGTCATTTACAAAATATTAGATTAACCTTTTCATTTCATAAAATGTTACATCAAATTATTTAATTTGAGTAATAGAAAAGAATGAAATTCTAGATAAAGATGTCATGCTATATTTTAATTTCAAAAGCTTCTCCAGATATTTCTAAAAATATTTATCGTTTATCACCGTATCTCACTCATTAATGAAACATATAATTTCGTATTCCTTTTTTCAGGAAAAATTAATTTATACATTAATTATTTTTCACGCTGGCCAAACTATTTTGAATAGAGACATTACGGTGTATGCATCAAATCATTACCAAAAAATATTACTAAATAAAAACAACAACGCGACGAAATGCGACATAAAAGGCCATAGTTGTCGTTTTTTCTAATTTTAAATCTCTATTATTTAGAAAAATATCTTAAACATTAAGCAAGAATTAAAAACTACACAAAAACACTGAACCGCCTTGGAATAATAATAAAAATATAAATATTAACCCAAACCGAAAATAGAAAAACGCGTGATGATAAATAATTTAAATCATAAAATTATAATTTAAAGTTGTATCTACCTGGAAGGTTCCTAAATATCATTGTTGAGACTTGTATATATATATATTTTCGTAGTTTCAGTTGTACATAGCATTCAAGATTTTGCACCAAACAAATCAGAAACTCTTCTTCTTCTTCTTGTTCATCTTGTTCATCTTGTTCATCTTCTTGTTCTGCTACTTCTTCTGAAACCCATGGAATACAGAACCTTAGAACTCAACATCATATCAGCAAAAGACATAAAGAATGTTAATCTTTTCTCGAAGATGGACGTTTACGTCGTCATTTCGCTCACCGGTGACCCTTATCATCTTCAAAGTGCAACCACCCATGTGGACAAAGATGGCGGATGCAACCCCAAGTGGAACTATCCGGTGAAATTCTCCGTCAACGAAGCGCTGGCAAAGGAGAACCGTTTGACCCTCGAGGCCAAGCTCATCTCCGACCGCACCCTCGGCGACACCGTCATCGGCACCGTCCATGTTCCTCTCAGGGAGCTCGTCGACAACCCCGGCGAAGACAACGGCTTTCGACACGTCAGTTACAAGGTCGTCAAATCTTCAGGAAAATCCAAGGGATCATTCGATTTCTCTTACAAATTCGCTGAAAAGGTCTCTAATTCCGTCGCCGCCGGAAGGCTGTCCGCCACGGCATCAAAAGCAGAAACGGAGCCAGTGATGGCTTACCCTCCTCAGACCTCCGCCGGAACAAGTGCAATTCCTTACGGAACATCACATCCTCCGCCGCCCAACCCGGCTGCACAATATGGATACCCACCCCAACAACCGTCTTACACCGGATACCCACCGGTTCAATCTGGAAATGGGTATCCACCTCAACAGAGCTACGGTGGATACCCCCCACAACAAAACGGATATGGTGGATACCCACCGCAAAATGGTTATGGTTATGGGTATCAAGGGTACCCTCAACAAGGTGGATATGGATACCCACCAGCCCAGAAACCAAAGAAGAACAATTTCGGAATGGGGTTGGGAGCGGGATTGCTTGGTGGTGCTTTGGGTGGTATGTTGATCGGAGATATGGTATCTGATGCTGCGGATTATGATGCTGGATACGATGCTGGATTTGATGATGCTGGTGGATTTGATTTTTAAACCTGATTTTTAGTTAGACGTGTGTTTTTACGGATTCCGGATTTCACTGTTGTGTTTTTTTTAAGGTTGAGTAACGATGTTTCATGATGCTGTTTATCAGTATTTTGTTTCATATACCTCGTTATCTGACTTTGTATTTATCTGGTATGACATAACATACGTACAGCTTGTGATTTCCTCTTCATTTCTATTCTATTCACAAATGATAAAGAAGATTTTATACCTATAGTTTGGGATATGATAGATATGGTATTATGATATGATGA